CTGTGAGAAGTAATAAATACCTGGACGTGTTACACGGACACATTACTTTGCATGCATGCATTTAACATGAAGCAATATATCTGATGACAGGTCCCCTTTAAGCACACAGCTCGCCCGAGCTATATAAAGTTACTCTGAGTGATGTCATGGCCGCCGTCTGTTGTAAACAAAGCGGGTGAAAGGGTTAAGCAGGCAGTGTCACATTGTGTCTGCTCCTTTCATAGATGCTGAGATCAGTGTCACATTGTGTTTGGTCTCTTCATTATCACTGAGCTCTGTGTATGGTTGTGTTGGCCATTGTCTGCTCGTGTCCCGCTCCCTCAAACTCTTCATTTTCTGTTATTTTTGGTCTGCTCTTCCTTTTCTCTCTTGTGAGAAGCGAAGAGGTCACTGCGTTCTGCTCTAAAACACGCCTGACATTTATGGAAGGCGTCCGGCTTTTTGAAGACTGAAAAGTCTGAAGATGAAACCCTAAATCTTAATGGGACAATGGCCTCCGACTTGAGGACGGCAGCTGGAGAAGAGCTGAGAGGGCTTCACGTGGGAGGATTGGAGGCATTGTACTATTTCTTCAAGATCCGACGCTTCCTTTTCTGATTATGCGAGTTCACAATGTAACCTCGAAGTGGAGTTCTGCCATGAGTACATAGGCTGCCATTGCTGCCCTTCTCCTGAAAATGCTAGTTGCCCAGCTGTCCTGCTGAGGCTTTGTTTTCAATAGTTTGTTGTCCTTGTCATTGACCCCGATCAAATACTGTGTGCTGATAAGGAACACTTTTTAACACTGAACTCCAGCTGACATCCATATATGCAAGTTATTTTACCTGCCGCAGAATTTGTATTTCTGTCCATTCAGTTCTGAGATTTGCACAGCCCTGTCTCACAGGACAGGAGACCTGATTTATCGTGGACGCAGTTCAGTTACACTTAGCCCTCATTCAGATCTGTGCTGCGTGCACGGCCGCATCGGGCAGCTCCCGGGAAGGACAGGTGCTGCGTGTGATTTGTACGCAGCTGCCTGTCCTACTCTATGGGAGTACGCGGCCGTACGCCGCCGCCCTACGCTCACCCGACCATGTCCATACGGGTGCGGGTGTCCCGGCTCGGACGCAGACAGCATCCATCCTGTCAGCGTACAAGTATGGACACCTGCACCCACACACACGTGCAGGTCGGGTGACCGTATGGCGGCGTACGGCCACGTACTCCCATAGAGAAGAACAGGCTGCTGCGACAAATCACACGCAGCACCTGTCCTTCCCGGGAGCTGCCCGATACGCTCCACAGATCTGTACGGGCCTGAGGTTTCTTGTGTGAATGAGGCCTTACAGGTCCCTTCCGATGCCTGCAACTGGACAGTAAAAAGAGAAGCAGCAGACTGATAAGATCATCTCTCTGCTCTCTCCTCCTGTTAACTTGTCCCTAGTCAGCACATGATCACTCCAGTACCACTGATTGGCTTCTTGCGCTGTTTCTCCCTTCCCTAGTCTGAGCTCTGCTGTGCAGTGACTGCAAATTCAGGTACTTACACTGCTTGCAATGTAAAGGAGTTGTAAAGTCCCAGCATATCCTCTCCTGTTATAACATCAGCATTGTAATAGGAATGATCACTCCAGTACCACTTGAAGCCACTGGAGATGTTTCTGATAATACAATCGAAGCTTACATGAAAAAATCCGGGGTTATCCCCACTGCAAGGGTTAATTTTGTACATGCCGGCGTTCTCCTTTAACATTGCTCTCACCCTCACTTAAAGCCACGTCGATAGTCACTGATGGATTGTATTGCGCCAGCGGCAGGTTTCACAGTTGGTCACACACTGGCATTGTTGAGAACCCGCCCAGCTGGCACAGCCCACCTGACATTCTCAAATGTCTAATCCTCATTGTATAGACATAATCAGGCATTGAGAGGAACAGGGACATAGCTGTGCTCTGAGCAGGCGAGAAGTGTGTTGAAATATTCTCCGTGACGTGCGCGAACAAATTAAGATCATGTCGCTGTTTGGCTTGGGCCACTGATGGGCTTTAGTAAGAGTTCCGTGCGCTAATTTAGTCAATAAGTTAAAGGTGCATTCCATGCATTGGTATTCAGACTTGCTTGGGGGCATGGACTTGTCTGTTGGGTGGTTCTCACTTTTATCCTGGCATTCATCTCAAGGGTCCGGCTTCCTCGTCCAAGAATTGTTATTCTGGGTGGTCTTGAATAGGACCCTGTGCAAATGGAGTGCAAGCTGAATGCCAAGCAAAGTGGACCCTGTGCAAATGGAGTTAGGGCCAAGTCACACCATCTGGAGTGCGTTCCAGTGCGTTTGCCCTCTCTCTGTTTTTGGGCGGGAGGGGGCGTGGTGGTTCATTGAACGCAATGGCACCACAGCCACACCCCCCACCCGGGGTTGCGATCGCCGGCACCCGAACGCGTGGCATATTAGTGCCTGGGTTCCAATCCAGGCTGAGCGCACTGGAACGCACTTTTGATGGTGTGACTGGGCCCTCAAAGTTGAATGCCAGGCAAACAGGACCCTGTGCAAATGGAGTGAAAGCTGAATGCCAAGCAAACGGCTATATTGGCTTTGTAGCCTTGCGGCACTGGGGGTCCCTGGTTTAAATTACAGTCAGAACACTATCTGCATGGAGTTTGCATGTTCCCCCTGTGCTAGTGTGGGTTTCCTCAGGTTACTCTGGTTTCCACCAAAGACATGCCGGAAGGTTAATTGTCTCCTGTCTAAATTGGCCCTTTATGTGCGTGCAATAGGGTCCGTAGATGGGAAGCTCCTTGAGGGCAGCGACTGATGTGAATGCGTAGTCTGTAATGTAACACAAGCAGTCTGGTGATTTGACTGCAATTAAAGCCGATCACTGGATAAACAATAACATTACCCTTTCAGTGGGGTTACCCCCCTAACAGTGCAAGGGTTAACTGCTCTTTATTACCTAGGGGGGATCATTGAAAGCAGTTTTACTGACCTGATCACTGCTCCCACTGGCTCCAAGACTGGCCCCCGCAGCCTCTTTCCCCTTACACCCTGGAGGTCAGGGGGCCTGCTGACCTCATTGCTTCTAATGCAGGGTCCATAGCCCTGCATTAGCATGCTGGGGGATATTTCACTGCCGGAGGGGGAGTGGGGTGAGTGCCGGGGGAGTAAGTAAAACTGCTTTTACATTATCGTCCTAAAAATGAGCAGTTAACCCTTGCAGTGCAGAGTTAGCCCCAATGCATAGGTAGGTCTTTTTTATAATCTGGAGATATGTTTTAAATGGCCCAGCCAGGCCACCTCTCTTCCTCCAGCCTGACATTGGACAGTGGAGTAGCACTGGAAAGACTGATGAAATCCATCTCTCTGCTTTCTCCTCCTGTCAGCCTATTTCTGGTCAGTGCTGCTCTGCAGAGGATTACAAGAGAAGCAAAGTCTTTACATTAGGTGCATTTTAAGAGCTTTAAAGAGACAGTCACTTGACCCTCAGAAAGGCCCTTTGCTCAAGGCAGCTTTGTGACAGGAACGTCTCAATTCTGCCTCACAAGACTCATCCAGCTAAGGAAAGCTAAAAGATGGATTACATTTCATAGGCTGAGCAGTTATAAGAATTTAAGACTGAATACTCTATAAGCCTGATCATGACTGGTCCCCTTCAAAGCCCAACTCCAGTCAAAACTATGTGTGGCCCCCTTTGGGGAGACTTTCTCTTACTTCCTGCCTCTGTGACACCTTGACACACCAGGGCAGGTTCATTACTCTAATAAAATATGAGTATTTGTTGCTTTTCCTGTCTCCTTGATTTCCCTTTCATTTCCTGTGCCTGTGAAATGCATCCAACGGAGACGCCGACATCGGTAAAACCTGACGGAGGTTCTGAGCTTTTCCTATTCCATCCAACATGTAAAAAGCCGCTTTGGTTGGTGTTGTTCTTTAAAGATTTCTGATCTCAGAGTTTTAGCAGAAAGCCCGAACGTATTCTTTTCATCTGTGAGCTTTCCTCCGACATTTCTTTTCACCACTGGGAACCTGCACTATGGCCATGTGCCCAACGATGGAGAACAATGATCATTGTCCCGCAGAAAGCGATTTTCCAGAAATAAGTCTGGGTGGACGAGCTATGGCGGCCCCGGGGGGAATAAACCTTTGCAGTTGTGTAAACAAGGCCACGCACTAAGGCGTGGTAACATAGGACGCTACAGGTTTAAATGGCCATCAATAGAAAGGACAATGGTGAAATATGTGGTTACATAAAAGAGGGGTCCTCCATGCGTCAACAGTGCAGTGACTGGTGCTCAGTGACCTTTGAGTTCTGCCCTGAATTCTATGGGACATGGCGGCATGGAGTTTGCATATTCTTGCCATGTTTTGGTGGGTTACCTTGGATATTACAGTATACTGTAAGTAAGTATACTTACAAAGCCATCCACAACTCTGCCCCCAGCTATTTCTCAAACCTTGTCTCAAAGTATCACCCTAACCGCCCCCTCCGCTCTTCCCAAGACCTCCTGCCCTCTAACGCCCTTGTCAACTCCTCCCATGCTCACCTCTAGAACTTCTCTAGAGTCCCTCCCATCCTCTGGAACTCTTTACCCCAACCTGTCCGTCTATCTCCCACTCTGACTGCCTTTACGCATTCCCTAAAGACTCATCTCTTCAGGGAAGCCGATCCCCCCTCAAACCAACCACTCAACCATCTTAAGAAGAAATCTCCCAAAACTGCTATAGAGCGTTGCTATCATAGTCCATTTACAAATGGATGCTCCGACTTTAAACTTATGTTGCTGTTTCCAGAGTGCTGCACAATGAGTACCAAAGTACTGCTTGGGCCCCAGGGCTCTGTAATAGAAGCTAAAAAGGCCACGTCTGAGCCCCTTGCAGTGATTGTTGATGGATGATTGTTCCTGCCTTCTTCAGCCCACACCTGACGTACTAATTTTGGGTGAAATGACTCTGAATATGTTTTTTTACAATTCTGTTGTGCTTTGTCCTCAATTAATTACTATGTCTGCCTTCTCTTGCCCAGGTGGTCCAGCGCATCAAAGCCATAGCGAATGAGACACGGTTGTTGGTTATCGACAGAGAGGCGGATGAGTATCGGCGGCTTTCACAGACCAGTTCGCCTCCGGAGTCTCAGCCCAATTCCAGCGCCCCTTCCTCCCCCTCTGTGAGTAACAATAATGGCGACGTTTGGAAAACCAAGAACGACACCACCATCGAAGACCAGCTTCAGAATAACCACAGCACGGAGAACGGCAAACAGGTAACAGAGAGAGGGAGATGATTCTCAGAGCATTTGTATTGTCTTGTATGCTCATGTGTCATTCATTAATACCAGTCTGCCTCTGCAGCATATGATCAGGCTTGGTATGTGGTTTATAGCTTGCTCTATGTAAATCCTTTTAGAGGCAATGGCGTTGTTCACACCAAGCAGAGTGTGCTATAAGCCTTTATAGATAGCAAAACCTAAGAGAGAATATGAAGCCTCATGTATGAAGAGCCTGACTGATGAGCAGCCTGTTTTTCCCTCATGGCGATTGCCTGTGGTCTCCCTTAGGGCCAGATCACACTACTCATTTGGTAGCAGAGATTTTCAACGGCTACAAATCTGTCTGATATTTTCTCTGGTGATTTGTAACTAGCTACAGAGCTGCTGCACTCGCAACAAATCGGTGTAAACATTTTCTCCGGCGATTTCTATCTGGCTGCATGGTTGCAGCTGTAGCTGGCTACTATGATTCTCTAGGCAGCTAGAAATCTATGCTGTGCCATTTGTCATCAGTCATCAGCAGTTGTGCTGGATAACACCTGTTGTGGCTGATGATCCAATAAAGATAACATGAGTACCTTTAATGGCCGATGATCCCATAGTGATAACATGAATGCCTTTTGAGGCCGATGATCCCATAGTGATAACATGAGTACCTTTTGCGGCCGATGATCCCATAGTGATAACATGAGTACCTTTTGCGGCCGATGATCACAGAAATTTAACATGAGCACCTTTAACGGTCGATGATTCCATAGTGATCACATGAATACCTTTTGCGGCCGATGATCCCATAGTGATAACACGAATAACTTTAACAGCCGATGATCCCATAGTGATAACATGAATACCTTTTGAGGCCGATGATCCCATAGTGATAACATGAGTACCTTTTGAGGCCGATGATCCCATAGTGATAACATGAGTACCTTTTGAGGCCGATGATCCCATAAAAATAACATGAAAACCTTTAATGGCTGATGATCCCATAGTGACAACATGAATACCTTTAACGGTCGATGATTCCATAGTGAGAACATGAATACCTTTTGCGGCCGATGATCCCATAGTGATAACATGAGTACCTTTAACGGCTGATGATCCCATAGGGATAACATGAATACCTTTTGAGGCCGATGATCCCATAGTGATAACATGAGTACCTTTTGAGGCCGATGATCCCATAAAAATAACATGAAAACCTTTAATGGCTGATGATCCCATAGTGATAACATGAATACCTTTTGAGGCCGATGATCCCATAGTGATAATATGAGTACCATTTGCGGCCTATGATCCCATAGTGATAACATGAATACCTTTTGCAGCCGATGATCCCATAGTAATAACATGAATACCTTTTGAGGCCGATGATCCCATAGTGATAATATGAGTACCTTTTGCGGCCGATGATCCCATAGTGACAACATGAATACCTTTAACGGTCGATGATTCCATAGTGATAACATGAATACCTTTTGCGGCCGATGATCCCATAGTGATAACATGAGTACCTTTAACGGCTGATGATCCCATAGGGATAACATGAATACCTTTTGAGGCCGATGATCCCATAGTGATAACATGAATACCTTTTGAGGCCGATGATCCCATAGTAATAACATGAATACCTTTTGAGGCCGATGATCCCATTGTGATAATATGAGTACCTTTTACGGCCGATGATGCTGTAAAGATAACATGAATACCTTTTGCGGCCGATGATCCCATAGTGATAACGAAGGTATCTTTTGAGGATGATAATCCCATAGTGATAACTACATTTTGAGGAGGATGATCCCGCAGCAATAACAAAGGTACCTTATGAGGATGGCGTTCCCATAGCGATAAGGAAGGTATCTTTTGAGGATGGTGATCCCATAGTAAAACATAGATACCTTTTGAGGATGATGATCCCATTGCGATAATGAAGGTACCATGTGAGGATGATGATCCCATAGCAATACCATAGATACCTTTTGAGGATGGTGATCCCATTGCTAGCTCCAAAATCTGGTAAAAGTTTTTGGTTCAGCGATAAAGTCTTTGGAATCGCTAAGACACAGACCTTCTATTCCTTCAAATCAGACTTTTTCCTAGCAATCAAAATGCACATGAGAGAGATTCTGTAGCTGCTACAAAGTCAAGATGTCATATCACAGAACCCTCGCATGTCCTGACCTACCCGTGCAGAAGAGCTTGGTTGTGAAGAGGGATAGACACAATACATGAGGTCCTTGTTTCTGTATTCATGTATTATATATTGCTTGAGACCTTGTACATTTGTGTCTTTGGTCTTTATGACCAGGTATACCTTACAGGAGTGTAACTTTCGCTATTTATAAAACCAGTGCTAGGAATGTATTGGTTTCTCCAGTACGGGTGTCCCGTGATTGGACGTGAACGGTTACCATAGACCAATGCAATCAGATTTTCCCTGCCGTTCTCTAGTCTTGCCTCTGAAGGGGAAATGGTTTTGCTGTGGGTGACAACGGCATTTCTCCTGTCAGACACTCTTCAGTCCTGAGGCCTCGTGCCATGAAACTGCCTTTTCAGATTTGGTAATTTTTGTGCGCACAAACTACAGCGCTCTTCCAGTTGTGTTTAGAATATCCCAGGGGCCCCCCGAGGCTTTTCTGTTGGGGGTCCGTTACCTCTCCCCCCTCCCCCGTTTCCTGATTCTCAGGCTCACGATGGAGCCTTGTTGTCAGGGATTTGATAACATGAGTACCTTTAACGGCTGATGATCCCATAGGGATAACATGAATACCTTTTGAGGCCGATGATCCCATAGTGATAACATGAATACCTTTTGAGGCCGATGATCCCATAGTAATAACATGAATACCTTTTGAGGCCGATGATCCCATTGTGATAATATGAGTACCTTTTACGGCCGATGATGCTGTAAAGATAACATGAATACCTTTTGCGGCCGATGATCCCATAGTGATAACGAAGGTATCTTTTGAGGATGATAATCCCATAGTGATAACTACATTTTGAGGAGGATGATCCCGCAGCAATAACAAAGGTACCTTATGAGGATGGCGTTCCCATAGCGATAAGGAAGGTATCTTTTGAGGATGGTGATCCCATAGTAAAACATAGATACCTTTTGAGGATGATGATCCCATTGCGATAATGAAGGTACCATGTGAGGATGATGATCCCATAGCAATACCATAGATACCTTTTGAGGATGGTGATCCCATTGCTAGCTCCAAAATCTGGTAAAAGTTTTTGGTTCAGCGATAAAGTCTTTGGAATCGCTAAGACACAGACCTTCTATTCCTTCAAATCAGACTTTTTCCTAGCAATCAAAATGCACATGAGAGAGATTCTGTAGCTGCTACAAAGTCAAGATGTCATATCACAGAACCCTCGCATGTCCTGACCTACCCGTGCAGAAGAGCTTGGTTGTGAAGAGGGATAGACACAATACATGAGGTCCTTGTTTCTGTATTCATGTATTATATATTGCTTGAGACCTTGTACATTTGTGTCTTTGGTCTTTATGACCAGGTATACCTTACAGGAGTGTAACTTTCGCTATTTATAAAACCAGTGCTAGGAATGTATTGGTTTCTCCAGTACGGGTGTCCCGTGATTGGACGTGAACGGTTACCATAGACCAATGCAATCAGATTTTCCCTGCCGTTCTCTAGTCTTGCCTCTGAAGGGGAAATGGTTTTGCTGTGGGTGACAACGGCATTTCTCCTGTCAGACACTCTTCAGTCCTGAGGCCTCGTGCCATGAAACTGCCTTTTCAGATTTGGTAATTTTTGTGCGCACAAACTACAGCGCTCTTCCAGTTGTGTTTAGAATATCCCAGGGGCCCCCCGAGGCTTTTCTGTTGGGGGTCCGTTACCTCTCCCCCCTCCCCCGTTTCCTGATTCTCAGGCTCACGATGGAGCCTTGTTGTCAGGGATTTGGTACTCAGGCATGTAACAAACACTAGGTCGGAGCAATGTGACATAAAGCAGAGCAGGGGGCTGGGAGTTCAAGCCGAGGGGATTTTGTGCTCGAAGTTGAAATCTTTCTTGTTGTGATCAATTCTACTCGGATTTCTTGAACTATGGACCAAGCAAACGGCTATTTTGTTGGACGCTTGCTGCTTTTTGTCATGAGTTTTGCATTCAAATAAAAAAAAAAAAATGTTATAGGAAAATGTCTGTGAACAATGGTAGAGATTTTGAGATTTTGGTTGTTCATGTTGTTATGAATGTCAGGATTTCGGGTAAACCAGAATAAAATTGGACTGCTGGGTCATACATGGACACCACAGTCCGCATTCCATTCTGGCGTCCCTCCTTCCCTATACAGAAACGTGGTCCACATGTGGCACCGAGGGTTTTGCTTTTACTTAAAGGGAAACATGGACTTGACGGTCGTGTGTCTTCTTTCAATCTATGTAATGATATAAGGGTTTAGGCTAATTCTATGTTTGCTGTTTCTTTTAAGTTTATATGTTTTTAAACTGTAGTTTTATATATATTTTTGATAAGTATATTTATATAAAATGTGTATTTTTTACAAACATGACAAAGGGCTTTTAAATCTCTTATAGCACCACAGCAGGTGAAGCTTGCTTTGCAGCTCTCTTTGTCTGATTGAAACCTCTTAGTGAGCCGTCCGATAAGAGCAGCCACTGCCGGGCTGACTCATTGAGTTCTATAAAGCTTTTATCAGCGTAGATGAGAGTGGTGCAATGTTTTTTTGCTGCCTTCACACCTCTGTGCTACGGCATTACACGACACACTTTGACCCAATTATACTCACCTTCCGCCAAACTTGACCGGAACTTTGCTGCTCTGTCAGAGCCTTTGCAAAATGCCATGGGGAAGCATGTGCCCTGATGGGAAAATTTCTCCTCACTTCCTGTTCTGTTTGACACCCGTCACCTGGACAGGATCGTTGCCAGCGGGGACATGAACAGCAGTAAAACATGTCTCAGAAGCTTAGTCATTCTCCAGAAAGTGGTTTTTATTACT